AAGTTACGAGAAGACTTTGATGTGTAAAGTTATTGAGTTCATGCTGGTGAAATTCATAGCAAGTATCGAAGCTTTTTTCGTCACATATATTGAAGAGATCTGTTATGGTCGCCGATTTTTCTGATCTTCTAGTGTATCCGCTATTATTAAACTGAATTTGCAAATGCGTTATTAGTTCTTGCTAATATTTGAAGCGTTAGTGAATTGAGATTTTTTTTAGGTATTCACGCCACTGAGTCGACGGTTTTCAGTTATTTCGCGTCTATTTGTGCATGCTGACATTTTCTCGTGTGGTCCGGGTAAGTTTCTTTGAGAAATTTCGGCAGTCTTTTGAAGTAAATGAACTGTGTTTTAATTATCGCGTTTTTCCTTTGGTGAAAAATCCCCACGTGTTGAGTCAAATTGTATTTTCAATCTTTAAGTGCTGTGTTTGACGAAAATTTCCACATGTCGCGTTGAAATCGTTGGAATTTATTAGTGCGATTCATTTCTTGTAGAAACTTTGATTGAATACATTTTATCTTTTTCTAATCTATTTGATGACAGGTAAAATGTTCAGTTTCTGATTTTCTTTTCTTTCCTGCATGGTCGCTATATATTTCAGCGTTCACTTGGAATGAAGTTTTTTTTAAATTATTTTTGCTGGAGTCGAGATTTTTTCTTCGGTTAGAATTTTTATGTTTAACAGTGAAAGACGAAGCATAGTAGCCGTGTCTGAGTTTTCTTATGTCAGCTGAGGATAGATTTAAAAACAACGTCAGTTAGTAGTGGAGATTGCAACGATTGTTATCGAAGTAAGATGGTGAAAAAGTCAAGTGTATCTGTGAGAATAAAAAGATCACGTAATAGCCGTGGTAATATCGAGAGCATCGCTTGCCTGCTGACCGAATCAAAAGGGTTAAGTAGCAGTAGGTGTGGTACTAGTGGTGGCTATTTGTATTTTTTCGCACCTCCTGAATATTACAAGAACTTACGTTTATCTGGTTTTCAGTCTTGTTATTATATCGTGAAGATTGCTTGGGCGTTTTGAAATATGTGATTTTGCCCATTACGTCGGGTTTAATCACAAGTTTCTTGAAAGTATTGATGTGTCACTTCTCATTAACAAGGCGTCTACCAGAGGAGGACTAACATTGAAAATAAATTTAAAACAATGCTTCAAGAGAGAAACTGAGAGGCTGGTGATAGCAGCGTACAGACCAGCATATATATCAGGTCATCTCATAAGTTCTGTCCGAATTTTAACTTTTTTTTAAAATGAACGAAATTTAAAGAGTATTTTCTAATGTCTAATGGAGCTGAACGTTATTTTTATGTTTAGATGCATTTAAACTGATCAAATTTTATTTCAGAGAACAATATAATTAAATTTTGTTTGATTAAAACCTTGCTACCATGGAATTATCCAAGAATCATTTGAAGTACATAATGCTTTATGAGTTCAAGAAAGGAAACTCAGCAGACGAAGAGGCTAGAAACATTCACTCAGTTTATGGAGAGGAATGTGTGAATGAAAGAACTTGCAGAAGATGGTTTGCAAAATTCAGAGGTGGAGATTTCACCCTTGAAGATGAGGATCGAACCGGACGTCCAGTTGAGTTTGATGAAAAGCTTCTTAAATCAGGCCTTGAAGAAAATCCTGCTTTACGAGTTGAGAAATTATCAGTCGTCCTCAGTTCAAACCGTACAACTGTTCATCGTCATTTTCAACAATTTGGAAAAGTTTCTAAACTTGGAAAATGGGTGCCTCATGAATTGTCTGAAAACAACCTCAAATCTCGAGTTGACAGCTGCTCTTCTCTCCATTCTCGCCAACTTGTTTCACCTTTTTTGGATAGACTTTTGAGTGGCGACGAAAAATGGATCATTCATCGAAAGTGGCTTGGTAAAGGGGAACGACCCCAGCCACAGCCGAGAAGGGAACTTCATGGGCAAAAGGTTCTTCTTTCAATCTGGTGGGATCGCCAAGGAATAATCCACTTTGAATTCTTACCACCTAATGCAACAATTAATGCTGAAATATACTGTCATCAATCAAAGCGTTTGAACTAAGCTTTGAGGAAAAAAAGACCTGCTCTAGTGAATCGAAAAGAGATGACGTTCCATCAGGACAATGCGCGATCCAAAAAAGCAAGAATCACGTCACAAAAGATCGAAGAACTTGGTTGGGAGAAAATACCTCATCCACCTTATTCTCCCGATCTTGCATCTTCAGACTCTCATTTGTTTCGTAGCTTACAGAATCATTTGGAAGGAACAGCTTTTTGTAATACAGGAAGAAGTTAAAACTGACATTTGTGAGTTCTTCGAATCAAAGCCTAAAGAATTTTACAGTAATGAAATTTGTAAGCTTGTTAATAGATAGAAGGAAGTCATAGATAATCAGGGAAAATACATTGTTGATTGAATCTGTAATTAAGTGTAACATTTGGTCACTATTTTTCTTTATTCAAAATTCGGACAGAACTTATGGATGACCTGATATATATATATATATATATATATATATATATATATATATATATATATATATATAGAGAGAGAGAGAGAGAGAGATAGATAGATAGATAGATAGATAGATAGATACATATCTGGTCACTCGTATTCAAGTATACCTGTATACTACTAAGGCGGCTAGCCACTCCCTCTTGATGACGCTCGTTCAGCCATATTTGTGTTTGATCAACTTCCACAGAGCCTTTGGTTTATATACTGCACGAGCTGAGCAGGTCTTTGAGTTTCTGTGGGAGAGCGACTTATCTAGCATCATCAACAATCTCAACAACTCCAGCCAGCTCAACGCTTAAGAAAGTAATCGACGGCCTACCCAATTTCAGTCAGAATATTTCGGACAGCACGGGGTATTGTTTTTAGGCTCTTTCCAAAGTGGCCGCATGCTGGGGTCGACTCCTCCAGACCGATAATGCCAGTCTGCTTCCTGGCAAATCAACCGTGGTGAGATTATAACACGCTGTCTTATGGTCAGAAAGCGAAAGTTCTAACCACTCTGCCCGCTAACGCGGCCATATATATATATATATATATATATATATATATATATATATATATATATATATATATATAAGCAAGCACACTATATCTTCAAGAAATATATCAATATGATCGGTTCTCTCTATCCCTCTAGTAAGTACCTGACTCTCCATGCTAACCTTTACAAAAGCCAGATCAGGTCAAAAATTGAGTCCTGCATCTAATTATTGACAGGATCTGCATCTTCTTCACTTTCTAGTCTTGATACTGCAGTCGCGTCTACCAATTACTTTCCACCTCCCTCAGATCCATCGTTGGGCTCAATCTATGACCTATGAAAGCCGCGAACATCCATTGTTGTTAGATGAGTCCACCGTTTTTTTTCTCCTTTTATATATAAGGTCCGGACAAATTAAGCCCAATGGCAGACAAGACTAAAGTCAGTAAATAACTTGACACCGAACAGATTGTTTGCAAGTTAGTCTTATAGACGAGACACCAGGGAACCTGTTTGGTCTTCATCATGCGTTCTGCTACAGTTGGCCTTTGCCATGGAAACGTAAAAAATAGTCACTATGTGCAGACACTTTGCCACACTTTAAGACATTGTTTTTGCTAATAACCTGTTTTATGATCTTCCTTTCACCCCTCTTCATCCTTATGTCACAGAGAGTGATGAAGACACGTACGTTAATGTCTAAATAGACAGATTGTAGATATTCGGTGAAATACAACCATTTATTATTCAAGATGAGAAACAATGAGCTTCAATAAAAATAGCGCACGTAAAATGTGTGTGCATGCGAAAAACCTATTATTTATGAATAAAACTGCGAACATTGGAAATGTTGACAGGTCAGGTCAGTTGGGATGCTATATTTTCTATCTTCTCCCATTGATCAATACTGAACCTCAGTTAGATTATCCTATCACTATCGGGTTTGCTCTATATGCACGTATCTTTACCAGTTGATCTTTTCTCTTCTACACACAATCTATTTATCTATCTCACACTCTTTTCACACTTTATGTTTCTCGTTCTCACTCTCTTCCTTAGATTGTCTGTCTGTCTCTCTCCATCTCTCTCTCTCTCTCTCATTCTATATATATATATATATATATATATATATATATATATATATATATATATATATATATATATACTCTCAGGAAATCCGATTGAGCTCTCTCGAGAAAAAGGTAATTTTTAAAACAGTGCCTCCTACTGGTATTATCGCATTGGTCTTCAACTGAATTTAGCTCTCACAGGCGTATTTCGTATAGAAAACGTTATAATTTCCTTTTTCTCTGCCGTTCGACGATAGCCTAGTGTAGGATCTCTGACTGACGCCAAATTGTTCGGGTTTCAATCCCGTCTTGAAGCAATCGGACATCCATCCACCTTGAATACAGCTATGATACAGTGAAACAGCCTGATTATATATATTTAAACAGTAAAACAAAATGTCCTTAACAAGTGGATTTCTTTCTAGGAAATTTCTTTCCCTGTTTCACTTTTGTTAACAGAATTGCTACACTTCCAAACAAACGTACACAACAGTATCAAGAAATCAAAAGAAAATGTCAGAATCCGTCAACATAGCAATAAAAACAATATCTCCACACGTGACAGTAATTGATGTAATTTTCACTTAACAGTATGAAAATAGTGTTCTCTAAATTCTTCCAGTTGATAAGGACATTTTGTTTTTGTTATTATTAGTTACTTTGTTTAATAAATTTATTTCGTTTTACCTTAAAAAAAAAGTCCCCATCGGACGAAACGCGTCGGCAAATATTACAGCTTTCCTATTGTCTTTTACATTTAAAAATATTGTCTTTTTCTACAGGTTAACTCTGAGATATATTTCATTTATATATATATATATATATATATATATATATATATATATATATATATATATATATATATATATATATATATATATATATATATATATATATATATAATATATATAATCTCAGTTTTAATCTCAAATTCAATTTTTTACGGTCATATCACAATGAAACGCCGGTTCTCCTAAGTTCATCGAAGTAAAGCAACGTCGAGGCTCATCAGTACCTAGATGGGTAACCTTTTGGGAATACCAGCCTCTGTAAGTTTGGATGTGCCGGTGTTGTAATGTATACTGTCTCGGAATTGGAAATTGGAGTTGGGTTTGTTATATTCACTTAAGCAAATACTCTTGGGAATGTTATGAATCCCTCTTTTCCTGCCCCAGGTATGGATTAATTAGTTGGTCTTGTGTCAGTAAAATTGTTATTATAGCCAAAAGTTCTAATATTGTAAAATTATTTTCTGGATTTAATTAACTTTCAAATGTTGATATACTGTAAATAAACAATGAATCATTTAATCACAATTCACTTACACTGAATGCATTAATTGTTCCCCGTAATACGTTTGAGCGTAATTTTAAATTAAAATGATGATACAAAAGAGAAAGCCATTTACTGAAACAGAATCTATAGAATGAGCTATGAATGCTGGATCATCTGCAATAAATTTGTATTCAATTTCTTACGTCAAAATATTCTTGGAAGTTCATCTTTTACAACAGTAGGCCAAAAATGTGATACTCTTGTCATATCTGGTCAGAACCTGCAAAGACCTCAATCTCTAGCCACGATAGGATTCAAAAGAGTTTCCGAATTCTTGTGGGTGACCAATTATTCTCCACCCTTGAACCCCTCTCCCAGAGGCGAGATGTGACAAAACTCTCGCTACTCTACCGCTACTTCCATGGAAAAGAGCTTGGACGAATTACATTTCCTGATCCCGCCTAGGTAAATCTTCATAGCAATAAAATGATATGCCACATAATCACAAATCACTCACATTCCGTCCGTATTCCACTGGTGAGAAGTAAGTTCGACTCGAGCAGTTTTTTCTCGCAAAATCGACTCCCAGCAGAATGTTTCCCCGATCACTACAATCTTAACCTATTCAAGGCTACGGTTAATTGTTATCTCCCTCAAATATAAACAGAAATGGCCGCCTAACGTAACGCTCGAGTGTTCCCCGTGATTTGCAAAGAGTGAGAGTTAATATAAAAAAATGAAATGATTTATATTAAAAGTGATAAAAATATATAAAGAAAAAGAAATAAAAAAAATGAATAAAATTGGCGAAACTATATACCAACACTCATATTAAAAAGAGAATCAAAGTTAAAATTTAAGCAAATCCCCTCCTTCGTGCGCATGTGTAGTTACATCAAGTTGTGTCATTTAGTTCGATGAAGTCCTCAAGGAAAAAAAGAATATAGTTTCCCCTTCGTCATTGACTTTTCTAACAAACTCAATTTTTTTTATTTAAGTTTTGCTTATGTATATCCATGTTTAATCAATCTAGAAATGTAATTGAAATAATAATAAAAACGAAAGAATATTAATATACAACCCAGTGTGCCTGAAGATTTTAATTTTTTTAATATTTTTATTATTTTATATATATATATATATATATATATATATATATATATATACTCATGTCAGGATTCAGGTCTCTACAGACTTACTCACAGGTACATATGAAAGTTGCGCACCTACCGGTAAATTCAAAATCGCACAAGTCCTACGCATAACAGCACGTTCTTTCTCCATCTTTCAAACATGTGCACACACACACACACACACACACACACACACACGAATCTCACACTTTCTAAATTCAGAGTGGAGATCGTTCAGAATAACTTCAATGTTAATGAATTCTAAAATATATTATGGCGGCAGATAAATGATGGCCTGTTGTAACCGATAATTATTATTTTTAATAATCGCAATTGTTCTTGTTCTTCTTCTTCTCAATATTGTTATTTTTATTATTGTTATTATTATTATTATTATTAAGAAAATCATTATTATTATAAAATATTAACTTATGTACCTTTCGACAGACTCCTCGTCAGAAATTGATATCCTCGGTATAAAACTAAACCGCTGAAAAGATGAAAATTTCAAATAACCGTATTTCCAAATAGCAGAAAAGTGGTAGCGGATTGGGAAAAAATTAAATATTTTCACCAAATATTGTGAGTTGGTGCACACATTTTCTCTGCATACACAGGGTCGGCCGATGTATATTAATGAAAACTGTCTCCAACATATTAAAATGGAGTCTAGTCGGTGTCCTGTGCAGAACAGAGAAGTAACCCTCAGAGTAGCCAGTTCTATAAACGACTGAATTCAATAAATGTTCACCGATAGCGAACTCATGAGACTGTGAGTGTCCAGATATTACAGGTACATGTCTACGTATTTGGCCAGGGACCCGCTGGGCAATACTTAACTCAAACCGCTGGACAATCGTAACTATATAATCAGTCTCACACTGACATTGATACTGATAAATCACTAAATTCTGCCGATAGGTACGTAAGACATCTTTCCGGACAGAGGTACAAGCCCTTCAGGTAGAACAAAATATTTCATATTACTACCGAATTAAAAACAACGTTGGACCAAAGAAGATATTTTATCGATGTATACCTTACTACTGGGACCAATCCATGGTACTTTCATATATAGAGTGCACTTAGATGAACGAAACAATTTAACTACATTAAACTTAGCAATTTTAAGTCCAATGTTATTTAAAATCTCACTTTCAGTGTAATCATTCGCCGCAAACAATTGCTATATTTGCCTGAGTTTGACTTCAAGGTTGCACTTCGGAGATATCATCAAAACGCAATAAGTGAGAGATTTGACTAAATTTATTTTCCTGGATTTGGGAGCGAAGGAATCCCAACTTAGGTGTACCCTCTAAGACAGCTTTTCTCTACCGGGGTTCCTTGGAACAGTAAGGTTCCGAAAAGGGTCCCTAAGGTTTCCGCGAGAACATCTGAGATAAGCTAATTTTGACTTTTTCTTTCATTTCATATACTTATTATTACTAAACAAAATATATTCTCGGTTATTGATACATTTTCTTAGCCCATTTATTGGTTCACAAGACAGTTTGCCTTGATTTAGCTTATGTCTTTTCAACATTACCAGTAAAGGCTAATAAAACTAAAAAAAACTGATACAGCAATTATCTGTTTTCGTTCTGTTTATATTTATATTATAGGTATATGGCATTAGTTATTTATATTTATTTTTGTGTGTGTGATTGAAAAGTCCCTGATTAAGTATTATAAACGAAAATTATTAATTTTATTTAACATTATCGAAAAATTTGACAAAGAAGTATTATTTTTTCCTTAAACCAGTTATTCAAAAATATATACTATAATATTTACCACGTGAACTACGATGAAAATAAAATGAGAAAGATATGGTATATAATTTTGTTTTTGTGCAGGGTTTCCTTGAGACATGTCATTTATTTTAAGGGTTGCGCAAGGGTAAAAACGTTGAGAAACGTTGCTCTAGAAGGTGGATTTCCTATAAACACTAGTGAAAAACATGACGGAATTCTCTCAACCAGGAAAGGAACTTATTTTATTTTCCACTTTAATATTAAATTTCAAGGAGGGATGGAGATTATTTAATTATTGAAAAAAAAAAAAGAGAAAACAATGGAAACATATCGGCAGCGAATTGGAAATAACAATAAGGATTTGAGATCTTGTCAAATAATTGTCTCTCATGGAAACCAACAAAGATGAGAGCAATAAGATGTCCCAAAGGACGACCTATTGCGACTCCATCGATCTGTCGGTACATGCAATTTTTAAAGCTGAAAGAGTCAGACTTGATAGCCGTTCCCATCAACTGAACAAAAACAACACCAGGGAACGATGGAGGCTTTACGAGACCACGATATAAAAAGCCCGCGAAAATAGCAATGGTTTCATGAGGCGGAACATTTTAAACAAACTGGATATATCAAAATAAACAAAATAATCAGTGTCAATAGTGGGTTGCAATTGGCGCATAAATTTTGCAAAATGTTTCGAGTCTGGTATAAAATGTTCCGAATAGAAATCGAAAACCGGAGCAAGAAACTCAATAAGCCACTTAGCCAATTTATGCTGGACAGAACCTACCATAGACAAAATAGGCTTGAGAGGAATGACTACTTTGTAAATTTATGGTAAACTATACATCCTTAGACGTTGGGAACCAACTGGCCAAATGTTATAAACCTCTCTGCACAGGAACATTTTCTTATAAAGTTCTAATAATCTCTTCTGTAGTATAATTTCCTTCTTCAAGGTGTCGTTACAAGTAACTAGCTTCCAAAATCTTATTTACGTAATCGAAATAATTTAATGACCACACCTGAGCCGTTGTCGTATCTGGTGATATATATATATATATATATATATATATATATATATATATATATATATATATATATATATATATATATATATATATATGTATGTGTGTGTGTGTGTGTGTGTATTTGGTTGGATTGATCTGAGTTTGTGAGCATGGGTTTCACGCTTTTAGCGATCGTTAGACAAACTGATTAATTTTAATAAATTTTTGATTTATGTAGATTGCGTGTATTGATGTTATTATGGAAACCAATACACGCAATCTACATAAATCCAATGCTTTTTAAAAAATTAATCGGTTTGTCTGACGATCCCAAACTCACATCAATCAAAACAAATATGTTAGCTCTATCTCTGATATTGAGCGCATTCTAATAAGTACCATGTATAATATATATATATATATATATATATATATATATATATATATATATATATATATATATATATATGCATGCACACACTTTTCACACACAAACACACATACACGCACACTCATATATATATATATATATATATATATATATATATATATGACTTAGATCTTAGTAGTTTGGCCGTTTGGTAATAGTTTTTCTACCATGAAAATCAACAGGCGAATTTACGAAATTATGAGTTAGGTCTTTTAAGCGAGCTTTAAGATCGCCCAAATCCAGAATTAGGCAGATGAGAGAAAAAATCAAGATCTCTAAATATTTCTATTTTCTAGGGAGTATAAAAAATTCCAAACTCCGGGACAAGACCAACTTATAAGTATCAGATGAGCAATAATTTGATAAATTAATATTAAGCTTATCCGTAGTGATATATGAACAAAATTTTCTTATGTATTGAAACACTAAAGAGTAAATTCAT